TTTTTTTTTTTTTTTTTTTTTTTTTTTTTTTTTTTTTTTCTTTTTTTGTTCTTCGTTTTCCATGCAAACCCTGGTTGTACTATAACTATACGGCTTTTGTTGTTAGCGAGCGAGGCAGCATGGAGGGGGTTTGGTTGTACGGATAAAGTTACAAACCAAACATAACAGGGTTGACAAGCTTGGCAATTAGCGAGGGAGAAGAGGCTAGTCTGGACACGTGATCCACAGGCGACATAAATAGCGTCTTTCCGCGCCGCTCCCTATCTGAACTTTTTCTTCTTTTCTTCATTACATCGAAAAAAGCTAACAGAGCCTGCCACGACCCTCGTCCATCTTTCCACGACGAGTGTTGCCTTCGGTCTACGGACTGATCGGCTCTGGAGAACAACTCCCTGATAGGAAGTTCGCCTCTCGTTGTGTCCTCTTCAGTGAGGGCGATGAGGGGGGAATGTCGATGACGGGATACATCACTATTGGGTCAATAATGTGCTGGAGGGACCTGAAATGAATTGAATTGAAGAAATGATTTTATCTTTACTACATTGTGCATGTATTCTGTCAGACCTCGTAGGCTAAGAATTAAGTGAACTGAACTATGTCTAGACCCGCGGAGTGCATTGAAGAAAGTCGAGAAGGAGAGATGCGGTGGAAAAATGATAGGCCGGGCTTCGGATTGTCAACGGGAAAACTCCCTTCTTCTGCCACTCATGGACCTGGCCGTTTCCCTTTCATCAACCAACAACATGCGTCTATTCAATGTCCCTCAAGATGTGGAAAGCGTACATACCGCTCCCTTGGGCTCTATACGCCATTGAGCATGAAGAATGGAGCTCACTACCCCGGGGGAAGGAAAGTCCACAATCCCTGGGAGCACATGGTCTGGCTGCACACTGGATGAGTGCCCATTCCTCGCGACATTCTCCGACAGAACAACAACAACAACAACTCCCTGGTTGTAATTGTTTGTTTGCCGCAGGTTGAGCAGCATGCCAGCGTCAGAATGATGCCATTCATCATAAAAGGTACGACGGGGTCCGCGGTTCTGGCTCGCTGTCTTTTTTTTTTCGAAGCAGATCGAATTGATCGTACGGTAATAGTCGACAACCACTTTTATTCATTCCTTAATCTTTGCTACGCCCCTCCCTCACGGCCCCGGCCTCAGTCACTCATTCAACTTTCGGTTGTATTTCTGTTTTATTTCTGACCTTAATAACACGAACACCCCAATTTAATAATATTAACCTCAACAGCAACAACTATGCAGGGACTCCAGGCAGGACTCCCTTTCGCGGCCCTGGCTGCCGTAGCCCGAGCCACCTCGGTCATCGGGGGATCGCAGGGCGAAGACCGTGGTAGTGACGTCGCGCTCCCGGTCGACAACAAGTTCCGGAGTGAGGTGAACGATTACCATTCCGATGACCACTCCCTGGATTTGGATGCGAAGGAGACCGTGGTAGAGGCTGGACATGTCCGCCGCCCACAGCACCACAAGGCGAGAGGGCAGGTTCTTGAATCCGACGACGGCGTTTCGGACGGATCCTCTTACATGATACCGCAGGTCCACGTGGAGTCTAAGAACGAGAACTCTTACCACGAGGATAACCACTCCGTCGCGCTGGAGGAGGATCTGGTTCAGGTGGTGCCGCCCCACGGTCGTGGACACTCCCACCATGCCCGCGGCGAGCACGAAGAGGTCGACGTGATTGGAGGACCGGAGGGTGTGGACACGGGCAACACCTTCGCCATGCCCATTACCAATAAGTTCTCGTCCACTGTCAACGATGCGTATCTTGACGACCATTCGCGGGATTTCGACATCGATACCACGATCGTCAAACCCAAGTCGCACCCCCCGAACCACTTCAAAGCGCGTGGCCAGCGCGAAGACGTGGACGTCATTGGCGGACCGGAAGGAGTTGACAGGGGTAACGATGTTGGCATTCCGATTACTAACAAGTTTTCGTCCACTGTCAATGAGGCCTATGTTGATGATCACTCTCGCGACATCGATGTAGACACGACCATCGTGAACCCTGTCCACCACGGACCTGCTCACTTGAAGGCACGTGGTGATTACGAGAATGTGGACGTCATTGGCGGTCCCGAAGGAGTTGACAGGGGTAACGATGTTAGCATTCCGATTACCAACAAGTTCTCCTCCACAGTCAATGATTATTACCAAGATGACCACTCCCGCGACATTGACAGGGATACGACGATTGTTTACCCTCACCACCACAAAGTTCGGGAAGAGCATGAACACGTGGATGTTATCGGCGGCCCCGGTGGGGTCGATACTGGGAACACTTTTGACATGCCAATCACGAACAAGTTTTCTTCGGTCGTGAACGATGCATATGTCGATGACCATTCGCTTGACTTCAGCAAGGACACGGCCATTGTCTATCCGCACCACCACAAGCGCGAACATGTGGATGTGATCGGTGGCCCTGGCGGCGTAGATACTGGTAACACCTTCGACATGCCAATCACGAACACGTTTTCATCCGAGGTCAACGACTACTATCAAGATGATCACTCGCGCGATCTGGACTTTGATAAGACCGTTGTCCACCCTCACCACCGCAGAGCTCCGGACGAGCATGAGCATGTTGATGTGATTGGGGGCCCGGCAGGTGTTGATACTGGCAATACATTTGCCATGCCGATCATAAACAAATTCTCGTCGGAAGTAAATGACTACTCTGAAGACGACCACTCTCGAGACTTGGATATCGACACAACTGTTGTACACCCTCACCACAAGCGGGAACATGTCGATGTGATTGGTGGCCCTGGCGGTATCGACACTGGGAACACCTTCGACATGCCAATCACGAACAAGTTTTCATCGGAGGTCAACGACTATTACCAGGACGATCACTCTTGGGATGTTGATGTCGACACGAAAATCGTCCGTGCTCATCACAAACGTCAGCATGGCGCACACGTGGACGTTATTGGCGGACCAGAGGGTGTGGACACTGGGAACACTTTCGATATGCCGATCACTAGCGAGTTTTCGTCGGAGGTCAACGATTATTACCAGGATGACCA